TGGCCTACCTCATCCAGCCCGATGAGTTCATCCCTTACTTGGTATTCTGTCCCGCGCACCGTCTGAACTCACAACTCCGTCTTCCAACGACTCTGTCTAACTCTGCGCCTCGCAAAGTTAGGCGCGTTTCTCGAGCGCATCTATTTTCGGACTCACAAAGAGGTATGTGCGTTCGTCTTTCACGCTCATCAATCCCGCCCCTATCACGATGATGGCGCATCGCGCCGAGCAAATCAGCAGCTCTTTTGCGATGCACGCCTCGGAAGCCAGACCAGGGTTTAGTGTCACACCCAGCACGAGCCCGTTTCAATCTCGGCAGTGTTCCACCCTAGTCCCCGTTTTGGTATCGCATGGGATGGCTGCAAATTTCGACACGACCTTGCTGATGCGGTACCTTGCCGACCGATTCTTCCTTTTCGTCAGAAGTTTATTACTGCGAATCGGCGACAGTTTTCTTTTCCCCTTCCTAGCAAGCAAGCCTGACGATTTCCCGTGCTTTCCCCAGACAACCCTTGCGCACGCGCGTCGACCTTGTCCGGCAAACAACCCAGCAGCAGCACCACCACCACCGCGTCCGACCCAGCTGAACCGATTTGGCAACAGCACCACATCACCATCCAAAGAACAACCACCTCGACCTCGGCCGGATTGACTGAAGAAAGAACACCAGTTATCCTCGCCCGAATCCTTGCGACCACACACCCTTCGTAAGTTGTTCTGATTCAGTGCGCCTCCTTCCCCGATATCCGCACTGGGGCGCGTCGCATGGCACCGGCCGACCTTGTCGCGTCCTGCACTCGCAGACGCCTGTCGTGACGGGACGCACGGGTATCCCAGTGCGAAAGGAAACCTGGTTTTGCTGGCCACCTCGCGACTGTGTGTCCATGAGGGCGATCCAAGAAGCGCAGCTCCAGGTTCCACGACGACCTTTTTCACAAAACAAACCCCAAGCGACCCAGCATCATCCCTTGTCTTCTGTGACTCGACAACGTCTATCTTCTCGGGACTAACGTTGGCCAACGAATACAGATACCGACAGCACCAGCGCATCCACGGCCGTTATTCTGAAATATTATGGGATTGATGACAATGGCTCAACACCGGCAGGCGCCCCGCCAATTCAAGGAAGAGCCCGGCCATGACTCGGTGAGTGACATTCATTTTTTTTTTCCAATTCCTGCGACACCTCCACCCATCGCCGACAATCCCGTGGCCACTTTTCGACCTCTGTCAATGTGGGAGTCCCGTCGCGTTTTTCCAAACCTCGTTTTTGGGTCGCGTACATACCCAGCTTGCTTGAGATAAGTCTATCTCGCAAGAAGTGTCGTCGCTGTTGCGACGCGAGGTTAAACCCCATGCTCCCGCGTTCGCGATTCCCCTTGCTCGACAACCCTGGCAGGCTTCGTAATTGTTCCAGAAAACTGCATGCCCGCTGCCGCATCCTTGGCCGGCCGGGGAGGGCTGCTCCTGGGATTACAGGGGGTCGGCCTGTTTCACCAGTAGCCAGGGCTCTGGGAACATGCGGCAGGGGGCAGTGCCAGGGTGGGCAGCACGCTTCCGCCCTGTCAGTTCAGCGCGCGGTGGGCGACCCCATGCGCGTGCTGCTTCTGCGTCGCATCCATCCCACACATCGACAAGCGTTGAAGGGACAACTGGCCAGCCAAGTTGGCTGCAGAGAGCTGCAGAACACATCGTTTCTGGAGCGAGACTCGGGCTTTGCTTCCTCGGGCCGCACGATTACGCCATCGCAGCGTAATGGTCTTCGCTGCGGAGCTAGACCAGCCTGGCTGGTCAAACGGCGAGCGAGGTGGCTCTCAACGGCAAACCAATTGGGGAAACCTGGTTGGATGTCCCGGCCCCACGCGATCCCCGCCTCCCTCCCCAATCGCCCCAAATCCTTGCAACCGATAGGACAGGACATCGAGGAAGCACGATGGAATCAGCGATCGGCTCGCCTTTTGCTGTCCGCTCAATTGTCTCTGCAAAGAGTCAGTTGTCGGTGCGTCTGGTGCGACAGTCTCGCCTCCTAGCGAAGATTTGGCCGCCAATGATAGTCACATGCACACGGAGAGTTGGATCGAAGAACAGACAGAGAGTCAGCCGGGGTGGGCCGGGGGGCAATTTCTCAGTGAGGCAACATCACGCCAAGTGGGCCAGCCAGCGGCATGCTCTTCCTCCTCCGCGGGTCTCTCAAGGCCGTGTCAGATGGGATGGAAGTACTTCTCTCAAAAGCTCCTGCAGAAAGTCACTGCAAAATGCCGTTCCCAAGTGGTGCCTGGCCCGATGCGAGCAGAAGCAGGTCTATCTGGAGACCCTGAGACAACAGCGGGACGTCATGTACAAAAACGCACAAAAAAAACAGCCCCCAATGTCGCCTGTTCGGCATGCATCTGCCATCGATCCAGTCTCAGGTCCAGAGACTTTGGAACAAGCCGTCGGGATGGCCAGCCAAAGCGCAAGGATGGGAGGCAAGGATGGCAGAGTGGGACCCAGTCCCCTCACCGCCCCTTGTCCTTACGACAGAACGGGAGAGCACAGGAGATGAGTGGCAGATGACAGACCAGACATGCCGGGAAACTTTTCAGAGGGCTTGCCTGTTAATGGCTAGTCTCGGAAAGCCATTCCCTGTTCGGCAAAAGTTGTGCTACCTGGCTTGCAGCCGGCTGTCCATTGGCCACTTAATCAACTCATGCAGTCGCCCCCTGTTCTCCTTTTTCTCCCCACACCCCCTCCCCTTGCTTCTCAATCCATGGCGGCTGTCCAAACCACCCCCCACCCTGGCTCTGCTCCCCATCCCTCTACGCCTCGACATTTTCTTCATTTCGCTCCTCGGTGTTCACCACGCCTGGCCGTTTTGGGCAACACGAGAGAGGCGGTTTGTCGAACCCACTACCGCGAAAAAAGCGCCTCCCATGCCCCCTGGTTGGGTATATCATACTCAACCAGCCAGGCATTATCGCTTCGCTCTCCCCCTGCTTGGTTCTGCAAGCATTCGTCAGTCCCGCATCTTTATCTCCTTTTTCCTGCGAACCCCCCAGCCGCTCAACCCCCATATCTCCGCGCTCCCCACAATCGTCTTTCCTTGCCTTTCAACCATCACACTCGGTCAGGATTGATCCTGTCACTCCCGCTTCCTCCGCCACGGGACTGCATACTCGGTTAGTAGCCCTGCTTTCCACCTTCATCCCGCCGCCCAGGCGGTTCAAGTCGCTGCCGGCCGCGAGTGATGCCCACCAGGAAGAGAAGCCCAAGTGGGAATGTCGAAACCTCGGGTCAGAATTCCGAGCCATTCCCTGCTCCACTGTAGAGGGTAGCATTGGATTTCCCTCCCCTCGTCCTCGGCTTGGATACCGCGTGGAAAAGGCGCCATGTCCTACAAAATCCCACCCCCAAATCCCCGAGGCTAGCCCGCCTCACCCGTGGATCCCCAGTCGTTTTGTCAGGGGACCGAACTTCGCTCCCGGCCCCCCAGTCCTTGCACGCGTTCCCGACAGGAAAAAAAACCACAACATTCCCAGACGCGTCCCAGGTGCTCCAGAACACACATACATGGTTTTTGTTTCGAAGATAGCCCTGTAATCGTGAGGACTAATGGTTGTCTCCTCTATGCAGCATCACACCCACCACCAACAGCAGGGTCCTGTTCCCCCTCATCTGCAACACTCTCGACCCTCGAGCGTGGTTCATCAGCAGCATCACAGCCAGACCTCGGCGGCGCAACAGCAGCAGCAGCAGCAACAGCAACAACAACAACCACAACAACCCCAGCACTCAGGCGCGTACACATACCCGCAACAAACACAGGGGAGCAATTCACAAGATCACGGGCTTCCGAACTACTACGCGCACCCGAGCCCTTACAGCACGCCGGGTGCAACGAGCGGATACACGGCCGCAGGTGAGTCGCCGTGGGGTTTTATCTCATGAGAATCCAGAGCGCCTGAGCTGACATATGGGCCCCTTAAGACACCGGAGACATGATGGCCGCAACCATGCAGCAGAGGCCGTACCCGCCGATTTCGTACCACACACCCCAGTCGAACTCGCCGGCTTCGGTGGCGTCGCCCTCGGGCCACGACCAGCAGAGGAGCATGTACGCGCAGCCTCCCTCGCAACTACACCAGCAATCGATGTACTATGGCGGCCCCCAGCAGCAGTACTCGTCAATGCCGGCCCAGGCTGCGCAATCGCCGTACGCGCAACATGCCCAACAACCGCATCAGTCGATGGGATCGCAGCCGGGCATGATGATGTCGCACACACCCCCCCAGCATCCCATCAGCCAGCACCCTGCGCAGCACGCACAGCCGGGAATGACGGTCAGCCCGCGCCCGGATAAGATCGATACGCACAGCCTCAACCACCGGATATCAGCAACTTCGGCGCCCGTTGCTATGAACAGCGCGTCGACAACTAGCCCCCAAAACGGTGCGCCGCTGACAACTCCCACCACCGCTGCTGGTGTGAACCCCAATGCTGCTCCGGGCCCAATCCCCGCGACCACGCCGCTGGTGGTCAGGCAAGATACGAATGGCGTCCAATGGATTGCTTTCGAGTATTCCCGCGACCGGGTCAAGATGGAGTACACCATCCGCTGCGACGTCGAGTCGGTGAATCAGGACGAGCTCACGGCCGAGTTCAAGACGGAGAACTGCGTCTACCCGCGCGCGTGCTGCCCCAAGGACCAGTACCGCGGGAACCGGCTTCAGTACGAGACCGAATGCAACTCGGTGGGCTGGGCTCTGGCTCAGCTGAACCCGCCACTTCGCGGCAAGAGGGGCTTGATCCAGCGGGCTGTGGACAGCTGGCGGAACAGCAACCAGGACCCTCGTCTTAGGAGCCGTCGTGTTCGCCGTATGGCCAAGATGAACTATCGCAACAACAAGACGGGATCGACCACGCCCCACGCTACTCACATGCCCGCTGGTCCCGGCGGCCCCGGCTCCTCGGGCATGACCACGCCAACGGGCATGGGCCCGGGAGGCAACCCGGCCATGGGCAAGCCGGTTCTCGCCAACATGGCGTCGCAGATGCACCACCATCACGGCGGCCAACAGGACGGAAGCGCTCAGGGAGGAGACGAAGTCGGTATGTTTCACCAGATGGCCTAAAAAGCGCGCGCGTTGTTGTGATTAAAGTGTGATACCTCTTCGAGCCAAAGCTGTTTTACATGCGCCTGCTTTTTCATTTTGTTTTGGATTGTCTTTGGATTTTTCTGGGAAATACTCGCTCGCCGCCGCCCCATCTACACCTGTTATATACCGGCTTTCGAACCTTTATTCGACCTTCGAGCACTGTTTACCCGGGGCGACAACAGGAACCTGGTACAAAAAGAAAGAACTGTACATTACATTTAGTTGCGTTTGCTGTTAGTCTGTTTTGCTGGGTTTGGGTCGTCCTTCAGTCGTCTGGCTGGGCTGGCTGGCTGGCAGAACCCGGTTGCATTGCATTTTCTTGCTTTGCAGCCACCACATTCAACAGCATCATCGCTCATCACATATCAACCAGCACCTTCATCCTCAACCCCACCTTCTGCCCAAGTGTCCTTGACAGGGAGCCTGATTCAGGGGGATAAATGATGGCACCTCGAGATGCGGGCGACTTTGTGTTCTTTGCCGCGCGTCGCTTTGAGATTTGCGAGTTGCTGCTCTTGCTGCGCTGTTTTTTGCTCTGAAGTATCACACTTGACATGACCGACGCGCGTTGCCGACGAGGCCCGACATGATTAACCAACCCCCCTCTTGAGTAGAACGCCCATCGGCTGACACGCTCTCTCTTAGGCGAAGGAGAATATGCGGATGACCAGGCCCACCACCACCACCATCATCAACCCCCCACGGGCCAGCCGGGCGCTGAGGAGCGGCCCACCCAAGCCTTCACCGGCTACGGTTCCTACAGCGGCGCCCCCCAGGGCTCGTCGTCGATGCCCTCCCTCCACGACACCCTGAGTGGCTCCCCGGCCCATGGCAGCGGCTCCCTAGCCGCCGCCCGCCAGTCGAGCCTCGCGCGAGGCATCGTGGACGGGCCTGATGACCTCTTCCCGGACATCCCCGAAACCAAGAAGCGCAAGTTCATCCTCGTCGAGGACAACGACCGCCAGAGCCGTTTGCGCGTGCGCGTCACCCTGGACAACGTCAACACGCGCGAGATCCCGGACAGTTTCCGCCGCAACAACAGCGTCTACCTGCGCTCCTTCTTCCCGCGCGAGATGCAGAGCCCCCCGCCTAGTGCGACAGGTAGCCGCTTCTTTGCTGAGGACGCGAGCGAGGCCGAGGACGATGGCGCCACCGAGACGGAGGGCCGCCGGGCCGGGCGTGGCGGGAACGTGTCCCTGTCAGCTAAGCGCTCGAGGGCCATGGTCAAGGTCACTGTGGCGGAGGGTCAGGAAGTCGAGCTTGCTATCCCCCGGATGCGCCGGTCGTTCCGGGGCAAGGAGGTGCGGCTGAACGACCTGGGCTATCGCATGGCGTGGCTACAGAGCCGTGTCTTTTCGGGACGGACCGTGTTTTTGCAACGAGCTTGTGAGTTTTTTTATTCGGGACATATCCCTCTGTTATGACGCCACAAACTGACATTAGCCGCAGTGGACTGTTATCGCAACAAGACGCGCAGCGCCATCGAGGGCCAGCTGCAGGACGTTAAGACGGCGGCGCCGCACTACGAGACGCGTGTTGGGAAGCGCAAGTTCAATGACCGGCTGCGCAGGGAGGAGGACTAAGCGGGAGATGTGAGACTTGGGACGGAACGATCATAACGAGGGCGAGAATGGGACTAGTGTGGAAATGGGGCGAGGGCGAGGATTAAACGAGGATTAAACGAGGATGAGAATGGGATGAGAATGAGGATAAGAATAGGGCCGAGGATGACGATGATGGCGGGGACGGGGGCTTTACAATGACGAGGAGGGACCCTTGTCGTTGGTGGGTGGCGGCCTTTGCTTAAAGGCTGAACCGGCTCTTTTGATGGTCTAGGTGTTACGTTCGGGGGGCTTCGGGCTACTTCCATTTGTGGATCTGTATAGAAAAGCTTTGCTTGCAAGCAAGGGCATCACTGCCGGGGGTCATAGGTAACACTTGTATATTCTAGTTTGTAGCGTCCGTGTGAATGTTAGTTTATCGGTGCCGGTATTGACAGGGCTTATGGCGTATCTGATGTGAGTGCTGGCGCTGTTCATGAGAGGGAGTAAGGTTGTGTGGTGTGTGTGGTATGTATGCAATGACCGCCTGCTGAGGAGCTGCCATGGTTGAAATCGACTCACCCCAGCCCGTATGGTTGATGCTCCGTCCTGACACTCTCATCGTTGGAGTATACCCTAGTCCCTGCTACGCCAACCTCCTCCCCAATCTACTCGCCCCTCAACCACCGCCCCAGCGCCGCCGGATCAGCCGCATTCTCCCAGTGCTCAACAGCCCTCCCCATCTCATCAAACCTCCACACCCCACAAAACGGCATCGCGATCCCCTCCTTCTGCTTCTCCCTCTCCACCCCCTCACCTCCCCCCCTGCCCTCTTGGCCGTCTCCCCCCTTCCCCTCGCAAGAACTAGCACCAGAAGAAGAAGAACCGCCCCTCAAAACCCCCATAACGCACCCAAACACCCCCCCCTCATCCACCACCATCCCCCCGCTCCCAACCCCAACCTCCATCACCAACCCGCCCCTGCGCGCCGCCGCCGCGACAAGGTCTTCCTCGTGCTGCTGGGCCGCGGCGATGCCTACGAGTGGGGGGCGCGGGGGCGTGGTCAGGTCGCGGTCGGCGGGGTGCAGGATTATGGAGGGGGAGGCGATGGTGTGCAGGAGGGTTAGGTTGGTGTACAGGGTTTGGAGGTTGCGGAGGGCGGTGGTGCGGCGGGTGGGTTCGCTTGGGGGCTGGGTGGTGGTCATGTTGGTGGATGTTGGTGGGGGTGGTGTTCTGGTGGCGGTTTTGGGGTGTGGTGATGGTGGTGACGATGGTGGTGGCGGTGATAATGGTCGTTACGTTGATGGTTGGTAGAGGCAGACCTGGGCTGGTTTTTGGAAGCGGATTGCGGTGGTGGAAGGCAGGAGTTGGGTTTGGGATGGGTTTGGGATGGGTCTAGTTGGGTTGAGGTTGGGTTGCGAGGTGGAGACGCCTTTGGCAAGTAGTACGAGGTGTAGGTAAGATAGGTGGGCTGGCGCTAGCGCTGGTCTCGGATGTCCGGTGGGTGAGAAGGTACAGTGGTAGGTAGTGTGGCTTGAGTCGATGGGGTAACCCGGGCTGAAGTATACGCTAAGGCCTTCGTCTTGGCTTCTACCCAACATCTAGCAGTATAACCAGTCGTTCATAATCAACGGCCTGTAGTCTACAGTCAAGGAGATACGAGGTCCAAAGAAAGCTTGGTGTCCGCCTAGCTACCACCCGGTCGATACTGCAGCTTCCCAAAGTGTGGAACACCACTAGCGAGACTCTCGAGCATCTTAAACATAAAGCACGGGAAGTGAACCCCAAAGAAGTATAATACTTCGCATCATAAGAGCAAGAGCTTACCGTATAGCCTCTGAAAAGGACGTAGCCGGTGACTAAACCCTAAACCCTTGGAGGTTTGCTTCGGGTGCTGGTAGAGGAAGGGGGAAGAGGGGGAAGGGGGGCTGTATTTTTATTTAAGCCCCCAGGCCCTGGCCGCCCTTATTAGTCACTCGGCCATTTGGGGCTGGTCTATGATATCAGAAATCCAAAACTGATATATCTACCCGGGATTGCAGAAGGCAGCTGGTCGGATTTGATAGTTTTGCGAGGCCGGTGCGGCTATCATCACAACACTTGCTCCGGCGTGGTATGGCTTGTCACTCCCACTTCAATGACCAGAAGATGCAAATAAATGGAGAATATGCATAACAGTCAGCAAGTGTGATCCCATGTTGCTTTGGCAACCGCGCTGGCATCACGTCTAAACAGCTAGAGGCGAGCTACAAGGTTGGGATGACGAGGTAGCAACATCAACGACAACCGCATTTGGGAGACATCCTCGTCCGGCCATTGTTACTTCAACACTTACCCGCCCTTGGTGAGTACCATTAACAATCTCAAATCGACCTCACGAGAAGCATCGCAGCTAGCCCCCGAGTCGCTCGACCCCACACGCTACACACTTTCCCAACCTCCAGCCTCGAGTCCGATTCCTCAGGACACCTCTATGATCAAGCATAGGTCAAAGGTCGTCTGCAACGTAGCATATAATGTAAAGACTTGTGCTCTAGCCATCCAGCCGCCCGCCTGACCGCAGCAACGTCACCAAATCGCACTAGAATATGTGTAAGAGGCATCTTAGACCAATACACCCACCCCCGGACCACCTACCAGCACTGCCTCGTCTTTCCCAGTCCAGCTAGGTACCCAACTAGATCAACCCCTATACCCGTTTCCATCACCCAATATATATCCACACGCTCAATCACTCATAGTTTAGTATCATTGTATTGAATTTTAGTCACTAGCCGGGCCAACCCCGTCCTTACCCCTTCCTACCTCTTCCCTAACCCCCTACCGTACTTCATACCCTCCTCAACTCACGACAACCAAGTAACCCAGGGCAACCTAAACAACAACTCAGACAACTCAAGCAACACAAAAGCAGGGCAGCAACCGGCTAGCAGCAGCAGCAGCAGGGAATCAGCAAGACACACAAAGAAGTCTCAGTCTCAGTCTCCCCTATCCCTCTCTCTCTCCTTGCCCCAGTCCCCTGTCCCTGTCCCAGGGGT